CTGCACTTCAGAGCAAGGCTGCGTGGCCACAGAGTTACTATTAGGAGGAGCTGAATAAATTTAGCAAACAGAGCTCCATTACAAAATCACAGAAATAACTCTGTTACTACAGAGGATGATTCAACAGTGCCTACCTGGGGAAGTCCTGTAGCTAAACTAGTGTGGGTCTTTCATCTGTATGCAGCTGTTGCACAGAGGGCACTACAGGGACCTGGTACTGTACATGTGCACAAGAGGTTGCAAGATGAAAATATAGAATTTACTTTCTCTGTTCTTTAAGACAGAAATCTTAATTTTGCTTCCTTGAGTGTCTTTCCTAAGCCAGCTCTGTCCTGGGGGCTGGTGGATCATGACCAGGATAAAAGGCTGTCCCTGTGTTAAAGCTCTGCAGTAGCTGGTGATTAGAAAGGTGCCGTTATCTCATTTGTTGTTCTGAGAGCTCACAGCTCCCGCTGTCACATGGACAAACATTTCTGTGAAGTGCCAGTGCTTGTGCAGTGACAGCTGTTTTTAACTTCTCCAGGAAGAGGAAGCCAAGCAGCTTGTGCGAGATGCCATCGCCGCGGGCATCTACAACGACCTGGGCTCCGGCAGCAACATCGACATCTGTGTGATCAGCAAGAGCAAGCTGGACTTCCTCCGTCCCTACGACGTGGCCAACAGAAAGGGGGACAGGTGAGTGTTCCTGGAGCTGTGCGTTGGCCAAGCTCTTCTCACCAATTCCTACTGAAACTAATACTACATTTTATCAGAGTAATCTCTAAATCTGTGTATGAATTTGAGCTGAAGGAGAAAACAAAGTTAGTGGCTGTACCTGCAGTGGAATAGAGGCTGTGACATGTATGGATGGGTGAAGAAATGAGTTTATCTGCCACTGCTTTACCCCACCCCAAGAGGCTGCTCTGGAGTTTCAGGCAGTTTGGGAAAGTAATGAAATTTTGCATTTGTGACTGACCTGGTACTTCGGGTTACCTTTGCTATCAGGGAGCAACAGGGTCTTGTTCTGGGATGTTTTTGCCAAAACTTGTATGATGTCAGCAGACAAATAGCATCATGTACCTTCTGCAGCTTTGCCCAAGCACAGAGTGGGCATTTGGAAACCAGCCTCTCCTTAGTCTCCATACACAAACTCACTGCAGGACAAACAAAAACCAGCAGAAAACTCCCCAGCTCCAGCCTGTGACTGCTGGGTTGTGTTTTGTTCTAGGACTCTTCTCTGGCCTGTGGCTGGAACATGTGCCCTGTGCAAGACTTTCAGGAAGACACACATACTTTCAATCACTAGTTTCTTCAGCATGGTCCAGAAATACACTGTGATGCCTTTAGCTATTAACTGCAAACTGTCCTTAACAGAGAAGTCACGAGGCTTTTTTTGTTCTCGAGTCCCATCTTATGTATAAAGTTAACAATGCTTGTCAGCATTGCTGCTTTCCTGATCAAACAGCCCTGCCTCAGCCACTTCCACAATGTACAAACTTGTGCTTTTTTTCCATAGTGCTCTCATTTGGCAAGACACATCAAAAGAGATTTCTGCACACTTGTTTCCTTGTCCCTGTCCAGTGTCTCCTCCCAGCTTTTTCTGTTCTCAGTGTTCATTTCCTTAAAGCCCAGGGCCAGGTTGCACAGGATGTGACACTGTCCTGTAAATCCTCCTCAGAGGTGATGTGATTCTGCCATTTGGCTCCATAAGACACTAATGCAGAATTTCTTAAATTTTTTGTCCTAAACAGTCACGTATGGAACTCTGTGGGAACAAGGTTACATTTAAGTGCATTTCATGTGATCTTGTCATACTGATAATGTTCAAGATACAGAGTGGATGAAATTCTAGAGTGAAAGGAACTGGCAGATTTCAGTTCTGCACACTCAGATCTGTTGCCTGGTGAACCAAGTTGCTGAATTGGTGAAGTCACAGCCCTGGGGGGAAGCTGAAGGTTTGGCAAGATGTACTGGTGAAGCAAGTTGTGCAACTTTTCAATCCACTGCCAAAAGAGAAGAGTTTACAGAAATAGCTTTTCCCTTCTTTTTAAGGTACTGTGGCCAAAGCCACACAGAACTGCACTGTTCCAGTTAAAGGTGTTTTTTTTATTTCTTAATGTGTAGCTCCAGAAGCCTGACCCTTCATTCTGTAGGTGGTCACCTAGGACAGTTCTTACTACACATTAAGGAGATCTTGGATTCTGTTCTGTAAGTGGGTGACAATTCATTAGTCAGGTGCAGTTACCATTCAGAAGCTTGATTATAGGCAGTTGTGGTAAATGTTGGCTTGTAGAGGAAAGTAGGATATTAGGTCTAAAATTTTACATGAGTTTTCCTAGGCAGCACCATCTTCTAGATTAATTTTCACCTCTTTCTTTAACAGGTATGGAAGATACAAGTGTGAAAAGGGAACTACTGCTGTTCTCACAGAAAATGTGTCACGCCTGGAAATTGAGGTGGTGGATGAAACTGTACAGACCATGGACACATCCTGAACCATCACACAGCCCTTCTGCATTATATGTGTGTAGAAGCAGCACAGGAGAAACGTGGCTGATACAGAATAAAGAGGCTTTGACCATTCTAATTAGTCTTCATGTTGTGCCAGTTTCTTTTTCTGCCTTACCCTTCTTGCACTGTTGAAAGCATGAGGCTCATGCAGAGCAGAGCTGCAGCACCTCTGTTAGTGCTGGGGGCTGTGTAAAGGGAGGTGGGCTTCTGGAGCAGAACCAGGCACTGTTCTGTCATGTGGGGCAGAAAACCCACCCAGGTATAGCAGCTGGGCAATGGTAAAGCTGTGCTGCATAAGCCCATTTGATAAGCAAAGAACATCATGTTAAATTAAAACTTGATGGATACACACGAGATCAAGAAATGGAAAACAGTGAGCACTGACCTGACCTACAGCAGCCTGCTCCTACCTCCATTACTGCAGGACTAACACTGGTTTTCAGGGGATGTTTATGTTAATTCCTGCCTGGGTTCTGTAGAGACAGGACAGGGGTTAGATCTGGCCTCCACCCTGGTGCACACATTTTCATTTCTAAATTACATGACTGAACACAGTGTAGCTCAGTCTCACTGTTTGGTTACTTGCCTCTACTTGGATCTTTGTTGTCCTGAAATCCTGAGCTTGCACTAATTTGAGATAAACTCAAAGATTTTCATACAGTACCACATAATCCTGGAGAAAAAAACAAAACAAAACAGCTAGCAGAAGATCCCTCTGCAGAATCCCCCATTTAGTGTAAAGGGAAGGCTTGTGCTCCACAGTCACCTTCAGCTGTGCACGGGGAGCAGGCCCTCGTCTCCCCATCCTGCAGGAAAACCAGCTTCAGGGTAAAGATTCACAGTCCTCCATCAGGACAGCTGATAGTTTCTGTAGTCCATTTGTCCATTTTCTGGAAAGGCTCTACAAATAATACCTGTTTGTTAGGAACAGTTTCAGTCATATTTGGACCTGCTTCCCCTGGTTGTAGTATTGTTTAGGTTTTCGTGTTGGGTTTTTTTTTTTTGTTTCTTTTGATATTTCCCTTCATACTGGACTCTTTTTCTTTTTTTAAACAAAAGTGTTTATTTTGTAAATAATTTTATTTATCTAAAAATGCACAATTGCAAAAAAAAAAATTACCTCTTGAAATACATTTACTTATAAGCACTAATAAATTTTATGTAGCAAGAAAGGGACCAGACTTCTCAAGATGATGCTCAAATTTAAGCTGAGCTTCCTTGGAAGCCGAAGATCCTTTCCCGTGTTACACCACGAGGCACAGCACAGCCCTCCCCTGAACGTGTAGCTGCCACCGTGGCTTAAAGGAAATCTGCAGTGGAACAGTGACAGTCTTAAATCTAAGGGCTGCTAAAGAAGCTGGGTATAAATTAAACAAGGTAGCATGGGAATGTTGGAAGCAATTTGGTGCCTCCGCTACATTCTCATGCTGATTTGAATTTTCTGAATCTCTCATGAGAGCAGCAGGCTCTACTTTCTGCTGAGAAGACTCAGGAAAATGGCACCTTGCATTAATGATACCAACATTATTCACAGCAATTAATAGCTTTTCTTTGCTACCCTCCCATAAATATTTTTAAATCTGATGGGAAGTAGTTGAAGATGGCACTGCAGTTTTCCTTTAAGTAGAGCAAATTAGGTTAAAAATTCACTAAAAGCATATATATGTAGGTAACCCTCTAACCCTAACCTTATTTCCAAAATATTAAGGACTGTATGCTTTTCTTAAGGAAAGAAACCAGGCACAGGCTGCATCTGAACGGCCGCCCCCAGCCCAGCACGGTGGCATCAGCCGCCGCACGGAAGCGGCGCCGGAGCAGCGCAGGTGAATTCATTCCCCCACTGTCACCCTCAGGAACATCAACTGCAGCCCCGCTCCTCTGAAGAGGCAAATGAAATGGAAACACTTGAACGTGAATCCACGTTTGTTCCTAAAGCAGTGATTGTTTCTCATCGACAGTAATGAAACATCATTGATTCAATGAATGAATTTCGTTGGTTGACAATTTTCATGTAGTTAAAGAAGGTGACTCCTTCAGATCAGGTTGAGATTTTATAAAAATTCACATTCTCTAAATTAGCTTTCACAGTTCAATAGATGGGGGCTGATCCTTACGTAGAATTGGACACACAAAGCATTTTACTTCTTTTTTAGAAGTTTTCAGAGTTTAAAACACTGCTTTGCTTCAGGCTTACCTGTAGTACCTAATGTACTACTGACCGGGCAGAAGTATCTTCACCAAATTCTAGTTGGCTTAGATAAACACTGGTTTTTAACAAGAACCTGTAGTCTAAAAAGAGTCACGCCAAACAGGAAAAAAAGTTTAAAGAAAAATTACTTGCAGAAGCAATGCTTGTTTCGGGTTTGTTTGGCATGTTTTTCTTTTTTTTTTTTTCCCCCAGATACCTGCTTAACTCACCTCATCGGCTGTAGCCAAGTTACCAGATAAATCAGCAAAATACTCACTCTAAATTTTCAATTAAAAAAAAAATATCTTGAAACAATTACATTCCCACCCCCCAACCCTTCCCAGTTCCTAAGTCTGAAGAGGAGGGAATTAATAAAAACACAGAAATGGCTGCTTTAAAATATACGAAGTAAAAACTGAATTTGCTATTAACCATTTGCAGAAGAGGCAAAGCAGCAGTTATACAAATTACACAAAATCTACTGTAATTCTTACATTAGTATAAAGTGATTTCACTGAAGGAATTATTTCAATATTTCACATTACAGTTAAGATAGAAGGGCGTGTCAATGCTCTGACACCCCTTTAATATCATCTACCCTAGATTACACACAACAGTTTTAAGAAAGGACCCTTAAATGATCTACATCTGTAACATGTTATTTGCCTTAAAAAAACAAAAAAAAATCACTTGCAATACCTCACAGAATCTTCACGTTAAAGCATGACCACCTTGTAAGAGTCCTTGTCAAATAACCTGCAGAAATAATGGAGCATCTTGCTACGAGTGCTCAACCCTCTCACTTGTGTGACTAGGCACCAGTCGGTTTCATCTGAGAAGAAAAGATTTCAAGTAAGACTGAGCTGTGCTGGCTTCTCGAGCGTGTCCGGACGCTTCATGTGCTGGAGGTCCAAACATGCATTTGTTTTGCTATTTGGTGCACGTAACCAATGTCAGGTCTCTGATCTGGGTCGGGGTATATGCACATGCTGACCAGCTCCCGCAGCTGAAAGACAGGAAAACGTGTGCAAACATGAACAAATCACTGGTTTCCTCGTGGGAAAGGGCATGGGAACGATTGTCTGATCACTGGAGCCCAGGACAGGAGCTGAGAACCTCTCCTGCAGATGTTCCTGCCAGACTGCAGGCACACCTCTGTCTGTCCCATCCCATCCTGTGTCCCCCAACCCTAGGATGACCAGGAGAAACCATTCCCACCAACCCTTCGGCACTGGAAGTTTAACCCTTCCACAGAACCTGGCGGATTTTACACCATCCTTTTGATGTTTTAGTAGCAGATACACACCTGGGGGTTCCCTGGCCAGCTCTAGAGATTGCAACAACCAACCACCTCTGATCTTACTCCTGACACTGGACGTTTCACAGCTGCTTTTCATATACTTTTAATAAAAATATTTTTTTCTGGGAGATTTTTGATTCACTTCAGAGAAGCAGAGCAGAGATGACCAGCAGCATGCACCCAACAGGAGCTCAAAGCACGGGACAGGGCAGCGGGCGGGTGGAGTGGGGCCGGGGAGCACCCAGCGGGTGCACCCAGAGCCCGGGGCTGGAGGGCCCCTGCAGCACGAGCGAGAGGGAGGCCAAGGAAGGAAAAACAGGCTCGCTACCGGGACTCTGACTGAGCCAACAGGTTTTAAGGGGTCTCTGAGGAAAGGAGGAAGGACAGGGAGGGTTTTAAAACCCTGTCCTGAACAGACCTCTGCTGTACCACAGCCGCACTTCCCTCCCCACACCAATCCCTGGGAACAAGGCAATTCCAGGTTTTGGATGCACAAACAGAACTCGTGTATTTTAAGACACTGGTGCACGGCTGCCAAATGCCAGTGCTTCCTCAAAACCTCTGTGAAGGAGAGACTGGTCATTGATTATGTTTAATAAATAAAATGCGGATGGGCTGAAGTCTCCCCACCTTCCAACCCTCTTTATTGTGCACATGAAAGATTGTAGCTTTTAATTATACAGACACTGAAAGCTGCTCGTACCCCCGAGGCACCGGGAGAAACAGCCTTGAGCCTCTGATCTTCTCACATCCCCCCAGTAGCCACAGTGCCAATTATTTTAATGGTAATTAAAAGCACGACCATGCAGCTCGCAGGCGCCGGCTCCAGCGGCAGCACTGGGCACACGGGCGGTGCCAGCCGGGCCGGAGCACAGCCCCTGGGCACGCCGGGGCATGCGGGCAGTGCCAGTGGGCAGCGCCAGTGGGCAGTGTGCAGAGAGCAGTGTGGTCCTAAGCCAGAGAGGCCCCAGCCCCACTGCCTGCCCCGGCCCCACGGCCTGCCCTGGCTCCTCTCTCCTGACTATGGTGACTGAATCCATCGCAGCACAAGGGGTGCTGCCTTTGCAACCCTGACACCTCAAAGATTTAACAGGTACCTCAGCCCTGATCTGCCACAAAACACCCACGAGCAAATTAAAATGTTTCTAAAGCTCTGACCAGAGCCTGCACTATCAGTACAGTCTGTCCAACCAGCAGCTGTGCTCCCATGTCAATACCATGCTGAAACACAGCCCGGGAACTTGTGTCCTCTATCAACACCAGGACAGCTCGGGCATGTCACCATCATCTACAAGGCACCAGTGGACCAAACCTTGACAAGCATCGCCAACCAGTATCTCCAGTTACCAGCAAATTTGTTCCCAATATAGGAAAGTAATCCTGGCTGGAGTCACAGCTCCTCCTCTGCTGCAGGCAGCACACCAGTGGGTTGGGGAGGATTTGGACTGGTTAACCACACCAGGCTATGGAGAAGAGGATCATTGTGAAAGGAAAGCCCATGAGAGCAGGCACTCATCAGTGAACATTCTGCCTTATCCACCTAAAACAGTGCTGCAACTAGAACACTCTTGTGATCAGCAGTCAGCCTACAGCCGAAGCTTCACTGTGAGACTGCACTGCTGAGGTACAGGAAGGACACACCGATGGCTCCAGAGCATCACTGGAAACTTCAGGAGCGTGGCCAGGAGAGATCTTCACCCCTGCCCTTGCTGGGAGGGTGCAAAGGCCTTACTGAGCTCCTGCACGACCCACAGCCTGCAGCAGTGACAGCACTAGAGTGGCTGCAAAGACTCTGCGCCTTCCATCTAAAGCAGAGACATTTGCTCTTGAAGGAAAACACTCAAGTCCAGACCAAGATGACCACCCACCCACCCGCTGCAGAACAAATTCTTTCTGGTGCCATGTGCTGCTGCAGGCAGCTGCCTCTACACTCCAACCCCACCTGCACGGTTCACCCAGCCTGGCTGCCAGGAGACACCAACACCCCTTCCCCTTTGGCTGTCCACGCCAAGAGCATCTGAGAATCCAATCTTTAAAAGCACGTCCTAAATGGAGTGTTGTTTGTGGCAGAATCATGTTCTAATATTCGCAGAATTGAAGATCTTTGTGGTTTCAGTGAGAAGCAGCAGCTAATGCAGCACGCTGAGCCACAGCCAAAGGCACAGCCCTCCTCCGACTCTGCCGAGCGCTCTGTTCCTGGTGTACGAACACCATCTGGAGTCTGGTTCTCCAGGACCCGGCGCCTTTGAGCTCTAAACCATCCTTCTCACCCCGGATTGTATCACTACACTACACACACTCTTTAGCACTGCCAGAGGGAAGCAAACAGACAGTAATTGTAAAGACAGGAAACACATCTGTCAACTTACACTACTTCCTGCTGCCAGGAGGCATATCCTGAAACACGCTGCAGCAGCCTGGCAAGCGGGGCGCGGGGAGCCAGGACTCGCTGCTACAGCAGCTTGGGGAGAGAAACACTTTACATTCACTTCTCCAGAGGAGTTATCAAATCAGCTTTTGCACGAATTACTCAGCAAGTGAAAAACAAAGTAAAATGTAAAATGTGTGCTGCAGGGACCCTCTCAAGGTGGAGACCAGACGGCCTGCTGCCGGCTGTGGACAGATTTCCCTGCATCCTGCTTCTTCTCAGAACTCTGAGGTGGAATACAACAAAAGAAAACTCCCAAAGGATATGGTGAACATTTAAAAATTACATTAACCATTTCCATTCAAATAGAAGGCAACTGTAACTGAATGAGGTAAAGAAAACCAGCTGGTTTGCCTAAGTTAGGGGGAAAAAAAAGACAAAACAAAAAACCCCAAACCAGCTCAAAAGGCCCTGAACAACACGTGTTTGCAGCTGAAGTGAAACAACGTCGAGTGAGCATGCACTGTAGTGATTTTTTTAAAAAAATACACTCCAGTTCAGCTACAGCTCTGCATCCCTCACTTTCACACACACAGAGCCCAGACTTCACAAAGCCCTCATGCAGCTGCTGAATAGATGCTTGCCGCATTAAACTGAAGAGCTTTTCTCCCTCTCTCTTTCTTAAAAAGCATCTTTCTCCCCATGTTACACACTGAAGAATTCAAACAAAAATTCAAGCGCTGTTTTATGGTTATGTTATTTTAAGGAAGAGGAAGTGAAGGAGAGAGGGCTTTCCCACGGTTCCTTGTTGGTTTTTGCCAGCATCACAGATTTTCAGTTTCAAAATATCCCCCACATCAAGAAATCTTCTCTGTCCTAATTGAGCTTGTCTATATTCAGACCTCACAACGATCATTTCCTCAGCCAGTCCTCAAGGCAGCCAGGACACTCTGGCCACCTCCTGTTCTGCCCTGGATATGGGGGGGGCTTCTCCTTCCAGGTTCCCTCTCCCCTGCACAGGGAGGAACTTCACTGCATCAATCCCTCCACGTTCCCCTGCAAAAATGCTCCCCATTTACCTTTTCAGAATAATGTTCAGCTGGGAGAGGTGGGTAATCACATTGCTCTATTTTTTGGCAAAGAGAAAACAGGTTCATTTTATCTCCATAGAAAGGACTCTGAAGAGCTGCCATCTGGAGAGGAAAAAAAAAAAAAACAGGTAAGATTTCAGAAGTGCAAAGGATTTAATAGCTCTCAGTACTGCTGATCTGCAACAGCAAATTTTGTTCTTTGACAGCGAGCAAGTGACGTTGTTGCTCTTGGAGACTGTCCACAGCCAAAGCTTCCCCGAGATCACACCACGCTGTGCTGGCGCTCAAGTGGGAGCAAGGGGAGCTGCTCCTGTCCCCGTGAAAGATGTGGTGGTGCCGGCCCTGCCCTGCTCTGGCAGCATGGCCCTGGGCTGGCAGCACTACGTCCCTGCCTCTGTGCAGAGTGACCTGTGACCACGACACACGGCCAGCGGGCAGCACCCGGCCAGCACCCAGCCTGCAGAAGTCTGTGTCTTCCTGTCACTGTGACACTTTCTGCCCAAAGTGTTTCCGATGTAGAATTGCCTCTATAGACCCAACATCCCACAGGGACACAGAACAGAAGTACCTCTTTTAGAAACACCCAAGAAATAGGCTGTTTGGACCATAGGACAATCAGTTAGGAGCCAGCTGGCTCAAAGATGAATATGAAAACCTCCATAAACACAATCATCTCTAAAATGTAGCAGCTTTTCTGTCTTTGATAACATCACTGTTTCAATCTTCCTCAGCTACAACCATGTTCATGTGCTCTCTGGGACTGGTAGATTTTTTTGATAGCCTGCTACAAAGAAGAAATGGATCATTTTTGGACATTTAGCTACCTAGAATATGAAGAAACTTATAAATGAGCAATGTACGGCAGCCTTTAAAAAAAAAAAAAAAAAAAAATTACCTCAAAACAAACATCCCCTCCTGGCAGAAATCTGCTATTTAGAAAAGAGTATCCCAGGCAGATTTCAGAACCAAACTACTGGAACTCTTCCTAATCAATGTGGTTTTTTTTCCCCGTCTCTCAATTCTGCTTTACGAATCCAGTAGTTGCATCTCCAAAAACATGACAGATGTCTGAAACAAACAGGCTGGTTGCACAGCAAGGAGAGCACGATGGAAGACTCTGGATGGGGAAGAATTCCTTCCAGCACATGCAGAGACTCCTTACAAAGGTATGTTTATGTTATACTTAAGTCTCAGGAAGGAAATTGCATCTTTGTGTTTGGAAAACCCTTTACTCTAAAAGTTCTCAACCAGGAGGTCTGAACAAACCACGAGCCTCAGAAAAACCGCCGTAACCACACGGGCATTTGTGAACTTGGAAATGTGGCTGAAGCTGTATCTGTCAGAGGCACACACGACGTGCTCAGCACCTTCCCTCTCAGCTTCCCCCAGCAGGACCAAGCCCAGCAGAGCCAGCCATGGCCCATCTCTCCAGGCTGCTGCTCAAGTGCTGCCCTCACTGCCTGTCAGAGGCAGCCCGTGCAGCACAGCGATACCTCCTCCTAATGAAGCACCACTGGGTAATTGTGGATATCATCCACTCTGTTTAGATCTTTTTAAACCATTTTGCTACAAGCTGCATCAAATGGCAAGCTTTTCATACTGAGGGCAGCTGAAGTTGATGCTTCTCACTGTGGCTTTAATAGGAGGTTATTTGATGATTATTAGTCTCCTGCTCATTACCCTGCGCTGTGAAAGCCATCTAAGAACGCTGTCTTGTTGCTGACACACACAGCAAGCTCCCAGCAGAATTAAAAGAAGTCAATACTAGATCCTCCACTCTATTATCCTGCAGTTAGGAATCAAGATTGATGGATTATTAGTGATTTGGTGACAGACAGGCAGTGTTGATTAGGGCAGGCAGTGAATGGCTGGGCTCAGGCAGGACTTCCAGGGGCCCGGTGCAGAGACATCCCCGAGCGGGCTGCACCCGGGGGTCTTACTGACACCTCATCACCACTGACACATGCCCAACCATTAAGCAATGAAGGACACATCAAGATAAACCATCCTTGGTTTAAATCATAAGCCTATCTTTAAAATAATTTAGTTACTATGTTTTTTCTTGCTTATTTGCAAGACATTGGTTACTCTGAAATTAGTGAAAACCTGCCTGGGGTCACCTTGTACGAGACAACCATGCAGAGGGAGAGGGGTCCTGAGCCATTACGAGAAGTAGCAAGACATACTCTGGACAAATCTCCAAGGTTATCTTCTCAGTTACCACCAGACTAAAATATTTTTCAGGACAGACATCCAGAGCAGTTTATAAACAGCAATACAGAATACATGAAGGTACCCAAATTACACTGGAGGACACAACAGACTGAGAACACAGCTTCCAAAAACATCTCAGCAAATTCCAGGGTTGTTCAGTTTTCTGTTGTGGTTCCTGTACCACAGCTTGAGATATTTGCTGTGCTAGTGACATTTACTGTGCTTTGCTGCAGGCTGAGATAGGAGAGGAGTTACACCTTTAACAGCCACACAGAGCAGCGGGGTGGGGAAGGGGCACACTTGCACCTCTTTGTGGTTTCACCACTATCACCAGTGGCAACATTAGGCTGCTCCTCACAACCCTCCAGACGTGAGGCTGCAGAGTTGCCTGGCCAGCTTGTGAATGGAGCCCCAAGAGCTGGGCAAGAGCCCTGGCAGACCTGTGCTTGTGGCCTTCTGGAAGTTTTTGACGGGAAAAAGGTGAAGCTGTATCACCATTATCTCATTACTGTCATAACAGTAACAGGCAAATCAGTGGGGAAAAAAAATTACTGACTCCAATTAGAGACTCTAATCTCTAATTAGAGATTGACAGCAAACTGCTCTCAGTCAGTTACAACAAAACCAGAGAGCCCAGCATGCAAGATTGTTCCAAGAAAAGCACTAATGGGTGTATTAGGGAAGGCATAGAAGGCAAACAAGGGTTAAACAAGGTTTCAGAGATTTCAATACAAACATCAATAATGCCAGTAAGGTTGAAAGGAGGTTTTCAATTCCCATTAAGTTTTCTTTCCAAGTCTAGTTAAGCAGTCACGTACAGAAGAGGAGGAAGAGAAAGGAAACACCGTGGTGTTTTGGGGTGGTAAAAGCAGGGAATTAAAATGGAAAGAGGTAGTACACACATTCTGACTGAAACAGTCAGGTCTGTGGGGTCATGACCACAGGCGCTCCAGATCTCTCACTAACAACAGTTTGTGATGCTACGTTGGGGTTTGCTCCTGACATTTTGATTAGAGCAATTACTGCAGGACAGCCAGATCTCCATTTAAAATGACCACCCTGCAGTATGACTGGTTAAAAAATGTATACACAGGAATCACTGTTAGTGTTTAAATTGATCGTCTTGCCAGAACTGCTGAAGTCATTGCTTATAGCTATATTCTGGGAATTAACAACTTATTTTTATCCCCTCCAAGTTATCTTGCTGACAGATATCTACAGGAAGCGAGGGATGAAGACAGTTACTACTATATTGATAAGATTTAATAAAAATCACTGTATGATTATCAATGTCAAAGTTAAGTGGTGCTATGTGGCATCACATCCCAAACCCCTCAATGTTCCCTAAGTGGATTCCAGTGGACACGCGTGTCTCTGAAGGCAATTTGTACATTAAATCTCTCTGCAGCTTATCTACACAATCTATCTAGAGAAATATCAGAAGTGACTCACAACCAAACAAACATTGCTTCCTTACTTCTAAGCCAAATGGAAAAATGTTCTTGTTACAAGAAATTAGTGAAGATAAAATACAGCTCCTTCAAAGGCACATGGATTTGATTCTTAATTTTCCGAACTCTAGAAAGTTTAAGAAGTCAAGTAGCTGTTTATCTACAAAACTGGTAACTGCCCAGTCCTCCCTGGAATCTGCAAGATCCCACAGCTCCTGCTCACAAAGTTAAGCCTTACCTATGTAGGAAGTAAATTTAAAAATGCTTCACATGTTACTACAGTACTGCTACTCCTACCACAGAATTATGTTTAGTGAGCAATTAAGTCAGCTTCTTGAAATGTAAGGAGTACCAAGACTACTGTGCCATAAGGGGACCATATTGCCTGCAACAAAAACATATCTTAGCACAACGCTAAATATTTCTCTCTGCATAAATCTGGAATCCCATCTCCAGCAGAGCTGAGCCTCCGCAGCGCCGCGGAGCAGCCCCCGAGCCGTGTGCTGCAGCAGCAAACAGGTGCCAGTGCCCAACTCGGGCAACTTCGACCATTCCTGACAGCCCTGGAAAGTCCAACACACCACGGCAGGGCCAAAGCCCTTGACTCGGCACAGCCTCAACCTCAGGATTTCTCTCTAGGCCAAATACATGAAGTTTACCTGGAGCTGTTCGGCATAATGAATTACTGAGAGCTGCGGCTTCCTCCCCCCTGTTCCCACAGAAGAGTCTCACTGTGGAGATACAGACCCTGGATGGACACTGGTGGGGCTATAGAAAGAATGGACAGTTAAGGGTTTTTTCCCCCCAGGAGCATTTTCAGGGCCACACTCATGTCAGTAACCTTACCAGGGTTGCTGTGCTTTGCCAGAAGCAAAGGGCTGTTGGAGTCAAGCTGCCCAGGCTGCTTAAGACCCTTCAGCAGGATTTTATCCATTTCCTTCACTGAGTTCCCAGCAGCAACCTCCCTCAGCGAGGAATCGCAGCCCAGCACGTTCACCCCCTGCCAGCAGCAGTCAGCACCCAGGGACTGGCAGTGCCCCACGAGCACGGGGCAGGGGCCAGCACAGAGCTCCTGCTGGGAGGACTGGCATCATGGGGAAATGTGCTTCTATGCTGTCTCTTCCTAAAAGGCTTGTTTAATCAACTAGCTGAAGTACATGCTTAACTAACTTTTACGTCAGATGTGCTCACAAAAAATTGCATTTCTGTTTATTCTCTAATTCCATGTGGTTACAAGAAGTTGCAGTGAGAAGCAAAATGTCACCAGTTCACATAATGTATTGCCCAACGAGGATGTGAGCAACATTATTACAAACTATCCCAGGGATTTTTAATTCTCTGGGCTGGGATAAAAGCTCTCTCATTGTTGACATGCACTTTCACTTGAATTCAAACATGGGCACATCTAAAAAAAGATTTGATTATAAATGAGTATGAAACTGTTTAATACTCTTTGATCCCAGCTAAAAAAGAAATAGCAAAACTCAAAAGTACTGTTATAAAGTCAACAAGAATTTTAAGAATACATGTAAAAACCTTTAAGAAAAAGTTGCAGACCAAGTGTGTAGTTCATACAAAGCGTGCCCGCTTTCTATCTGTGTCTAGCCTAGAAGGCAATGTACAATCAGGAAAAAATCAAGCTATAGACTAATCAAGTTAGAGAAATAGATTTCATATTACATAAAAAGTATTTTTCTTTACTCAAAGCTCCAAGAATTCAACTGAACAAACCAGTAGCTTACATTCAAATGAATTTGGTATTTTAAAAACAAATGCAGTATTCAGGAGAAGCTATGAATACACTGCCCTACCGACAGCTCTGCTCAGAGAGGGAAGAAAGGCTGCAGTGAGCTGGTGTGTTTACATCCATAGCCTCAACATCTACTGTGACCTATAAATCAACTTGGTGCAAGCACTATGCTGTATGGCACAACCCCTTTGTTGTTCATGCTCAAAAGCACATGATGAGCACAAGAAGAGTTAACTTTTCATAAGGTTTCTAAAAAGCTCAAGTAAGTCTGACCTATTTGATTCCTGTACTGTACTGTGCAATTAAGACAAACTTGGGAAAAAAAAGTGAGAAGATACTTGCCTCATACAATAAACAGCCCAAAGACCAGATATCAGATTTAAAGTTATAGCCGTTTTCATGTATTCTTTCTGGGGACATATAGTATGGAGTTCCCACTGTAAAAAACAAACAAACAAACAAACGAGGAGTTATCGTCTTAAAAAGTGACTGTGCAACCTGTATTACACCAAACTAATGACTTCATTAAAGGATTAGGTTTAGCACAAATAGCTAAGAAGAGGAGACCAGCACAAAAACTGGGAAACAACTTGAGGTTTTGAAGGTGCAGAACCCAATATATCATCACATAAAGAGCTAGAGGACTACTGACCATTACGGAAAATAGCTTCTGTATTTCTGTAATTTGAGAAATGTTTTCTTCCCCTTCCAGTCTTCCTAGTACCTTCAGCGTGTCTCAGGCGGACAGAACAATTGTAAAGGAGCATCCTCCTTTGGTTCACTCAGCAGCTCTGCAGCTGCAAGTTAGATGTCATGGACGTCCTCTGCTAAAACAAGCCTCCTGTGACAGCCTATCAATTGAACGTTCACCTGACACACGCCGCACCAGCAGCATGACAGAGTGACTCAGAAATGACAGGGTACCCTTTTTAAGAGTTCAGGAGACCATTTACTGAAGCAGAGAAATGGAAGTAACAAGCCCAGCATCAGACAGGCATTCAAAAACTTTCTGAAAGAACCAAGATAATCATTCCAAACTTTAAAACACTGCTCCAACTTGCAGTCACGTCAGAAGCCATGGGATTTCTATGCACTTCCATAAGTCTGTATTTTATCAAAAGAAATTTACTCCAGCATTTTGGACAGAACTTACAGGAAATTATTAATAAATTCCTTACCTCAGAAAGGTTCTTTTTTAAATCCTAAATAAGTTTCAGTTGTGGTACTGAAAATACAAGACATCCTGGCAGTCTCAACTACATCAAATAATCCTCAGATACATCATTTATTGAAACATCCAAGGACTTTATATGCTCTCTTTTCTTCTGCTTCCCCTGCTTGCCTGTCCCCTGTCAATTTATTATATTTTATTTTATTTTTTTTGCTTTTGGCATTTGAGTGTATCCTTCTAATTAAAGACCTTTCCTCACAAGACGGCAAATGTTTAATTTGCCTGTAACATTCAGTTTACAATTTCTCCATTTGAAATGCTGACTGCAGACAGCTGGAAGACTAATAAGCAGATGAAGGATGGTGTTGGAGGTGGAGGGGGAAAACAGCCACCACCTTCCCCCCCTCCACATTTCTAAGGAGGGGTTTGCATGCTGCAGGAAACCAGTGAGTTTGGGGACAGAAAGCAACAGCCTTCCAAAAGGCAAAAATCACCCCTGCCAAGAGCAGAGATGACCCAGCACAGAGCTGCTGCCATCAGGGTGATATCTGAGCAAAACCACTTCGGGGGCTCTCCAGCTTCGACCACTCTGTGTATGTGTGAATTGAAATCTTAACTGCTCTCCTCTGTCCTCCAGAGGACCAAAACACAGGCCAGGACCCCTTTGATAAACACACTGCACAAGGCCTATCCTCACAGGACAGAAGCTATTTACAGCCCCAAAGAATTGACAACACAGATATAAACCAACACACAGAGGAAGAGGTCAACATGGGGCAGCACCTGAGGAGACAATACTGGTTCTCAGTGCATCACCACCTTAACCTAAGAGGAAGTTTGTTTTATTTCTCCAATTTCCAGCTTCTGTTACTTAGTCAAAATGAAATGTATTGATTTGAAATTCATCCTGTCAATGCTAATGTGTAATTATCCAATCCACTCCAAAGCATCCCCAACATCCTCCCTTATGTAGGTTTTTCTGCAGGGTAAAATGGGATCACGTTGCACCAGCTACTCCACTTACAATACTCGAAGCATTTTCTTTCTCTAGGGAGAAAACTATACAGCTTACCTCAAAACAAAAACACACCCCACCCCACCCCCAAACCAATACCATTCAATCTTTATTCTACATTTTTGTCATGCATTTGTACACCAAATCTTTGGATCTATTGGACCTCAGTAATTTTTAGTCAGAGCTAATCAGAAGTCTATAGTGTGAAATTAATGCTATGGCATCAGTGTGAAACATAAGACATTACAAGAATACATCTATAAAACTCCACTTAAAACAGAACAAGTAACCAAGAAATGGGACCACTGCCCTGACTGACTCATTTACTTGGTCACCCAGGACTTCCAGTTATCAGCTGCCCTAACTGAACTCAGCTTCTGCTTGCAGGTCAGTAACATTACTTTCAGTGGGAAGAGTACCCTAGTGAGAAATTACATTTTTGCAACTTCTATACAAACTACAACACAGGGAAAAAAGCACATGGGGATCATTACACTTCCATGGTCAGTAATGTCACATCCAGCCAAGGAACATGCCAAATTGACACTGTCCCAGATCTGGCTGGGTTTAATTGCCAGCGAAAGACCTCTATGGATGGATGAGACCAGAGTTCTGCTCATAGATCCTAACTCTTAACAGACTGCACGGAGTAACTTCACAGAACCCCACGAGCAGACAGGACTCACTCAAAGAGCCCAACCAGGCTTTCCACAGATCTCCCCCATGTGCACGCAAGATGCACACGATGGACAGCACAGCTCTCCATGTGGTTCCCACACATTTGGCAGATTTCAGTATGAGAACTGACTTGGTTGGAATAGCACTGACTCATTTTCCTGCTGAACATGCAGCTGCAGAAGAAACAGTGATTCATTAGGGGAAGTTCTTGAAGACAGTTCTGGAAGTCCCCACTGAGCACCAGTGGTTAAGACACTTTCCTGCCTTGTACTTCGCAGTGCTGCTGCTTTTCTCCAGTCTGCCAGGGGAGCTACTGGTGCAGCTGGAGCCGCAGCCATGGCAGCCCCTCACCTGCAGCGGGCCCGGGAGCTGGGCGTGGGCACACAGTGGCACCCAGCTGGCAGGAGGCAGCACCGAGATCAGTCCTGCTCCTGCTCCCCAAAGTCTTCGTGCTTCAGAGTGCTGGAGCCAGGGCTGGCCTCCAGCAGTAGCTGCTCTTCCAATCAGTTATTCCGGGTCGCTGCATGGCACGCTCAGAGCAAATAACGTGTGGGCTCTAAAGTTATGGCCTTGCCTTCCAGGTTAGCAGGGGTCTGCTTGGTGGGCTAAAACTGTCGTTTCAGATAATGCCTTAGAACGGCCTTCGATCAAAGCAGAACGACAAGGTTTGTCACACGGATGAGTGCCTTACAGCCCCTGTTTGATTTCCTGTGCATTAGCCTGTGCCATTACATTAATGGGTCTGTGGAGCAGTCCACGCCTGAGCTGATTTCGGGAAGTCACCTCGCACATTTACCTATCATTACTGTAGTGTTGTCAGCAAATGGACGAACAAGCAGGTCTCTGCGTTTCAAAACTGATGCATTAATTTTTAAATAACTGCCATGATAAAAGACTGACAGGACCAATTCTCTTTATGGTCTGTCCAGCATTACGTAGGAATCTCCCCTAATGAGCATTTTCTAGAAAACCGCACAAGGCTTCCAGTGCAATCAGCCAGGGCTCACCACTGCATTACATTAGTCAATTTGACAAGAATAGTCTAATCGGAGACTATTAATCAGAAACTTTCTTTGG